CATCTAACAGGGGATCCAACAGTTCTTTGGACCCACCCTGAGTTTGTTTCCCCAAACCCTCAGGACCTAGTTGCCAACGATGTACTTGGGATGTTGGATCCCCTTCATGTTGGTTCAAGCAACATTACACAGAAAGGTACATATGGGGAGCCTACCAAGCTGCTCCCTCTTTACAATATGGGAACACAGAAGTAATACCACTTCTATAGCAAAAACAGAGAGAAGACCCAAATTTCTAACCAGAAATGAAAGTGAGGGCAACTAATACTTACTTTACAGGGATTTTTAAAAAAAGATTCCAAGAGTATACCATGAGCAATTTTACATTAAGAATGAATCTAGATGAGATAGACACATTCTTAGAAGCACACGGCTAACAAGCTGACTCGTAAAGAAATAGAAATTCTCTATAGACCTACAACCAGTAAAGAGATTGGATTTGTTATCAAAGATCTCAGAACAAAGAAAAGCCCAGCACCAAGAGGCTTCACCAGTAAACTCTACTGCACCTTTAAAGAAGAATTAATATAACTCCTTCCCAAACTCTACGTAACTTGAGGGTCCTAGCTAAGTAGTTAACTAGACATAACTAGAGATCGTTTTAATGAGTAGGTAAAGTGTAACCACCGAAATAGTAGTATCTGCTCCAAAATACACTTATACCTTGTTGAATAAAGTGTAAGTAGCATGCAGGCCCACGAATACCTGGGAAATCAGTTAATCTGAGTTAGCTAACGATAACTGGAACAACTGCTTGAAAGCAAGATGACTGTAAAAATTATGTTTTAGTCAGCATTTAAATATTATTTGTTGTTGAATTAATAAATTCTTACCACAGAAAAGTAGAGATGTTTAAGTAAATATCACATAAGAGATAAACAATAATAAAAAGTGGAAGCCAAGGACTGGAAAAACATATTGTTTTTAAATATCACATCTTTTTCTTGTTGAATAAGTCAGCTCTTGTCGAATAAATCAGTTATGTCTATTTGTTACTACTGGCCTAGTCACCTAGGGAAACTATAATATTCGTTACTATTGGCCTAGTCACCTAGGGAAACTGTATAACTAGTTATATAGGGAAACTATGTAACTAGTTTTCCTAGGTGACTAGGCCAATACTAACAAATAGACATAACCGGAATAACTAGCCAAAACCCGGAGTCTGAAAATCATGTTGTTCTCAACTCTACATAAGTGCTTTTCTGGAATACGTAGTTAGTTCAGTAGATGAACGATGTTACCTAGACAAATAGTAAATGAGCCGTAACCAGTTTGTGCTGGGAAGTGGAAAACACATCTTTCTCACCTATAATTTCTTTTCTTCTTGTGATCATGAATTCTTACCATAGAATTCTAGTTGTAATTAGATAACTAGCACCCTAGGGAAAAGTAGAGCTATCCAGAAACCTGAAGAAAACTGGTGGAATTCAGGAAGTTCAGCAACCATTCTTCTCAACTAGAAATTCTTATCTCAGGTTGGTAGTATTAGTCAGTACAATAGGTACCCACAGTCTTCCACTCAACTAGTTAACCTGAGGTAGTTAGATGAAGCCAAGAACTAGAAAACCCTACCTTTCACCATATACAAGCGTTAACTCAGGATGGAGTAAAGATTTCAATATAAGACCTCAAAGTATAAGAATCCAGAAGAAGAAGAAACTCAAGAAACACTGTTCTGGACATGGGAAAGAATTTATGACTAAGTTCTCAAAAACAATTGCAAACACACATGCATGCACACGCACACACACACACACACACACACCACACAGGACAAGAGAGGCCTAATTAAACTAAGGAACTTCTGCACATTAAGTTAAACTATCAACAGAGTCAATAGACAACCTAGAGAATGGGAGAAAATATTTGCAAACCGTGTATTCAACAAAGGTCTAATATCCAGAGTCTGTAAGCAACCTAAACAATTCAACAAGGAAAAAATGAATAACCGCATTTAAAAAGTGGCGAAAAGACAGGAACAGAGACTTCTCATAAGATAACACACAAGCAGCCAACCCACATGAAGAAATACTCGGCATCATCAGTCGTCATAGAAGTGCAAATGAAAAACCAAAATGAGATACAATCTCACACTAGTCAGAATGGCCACTATTAGAGAGTCAGAAAACGACAGATTTTGGTGAGGCTGTGGAGAAAAGGGAATGCCTCTCCACTCTTGGTGGGCATGTAAATTAGTCCAGCCACTGTGGAAAGCAGTTTGGAAATTTCTCAAACAACTTAAAACAGAGCTGCCATTTGACCCAGCAATCCCATTACTGGGTATGTGTTCAAAGGAAAATAAATCGTTCTTTTTTAAAACGTTCATCCTTTTTGTAGACACAGGGTCTCACTCTGTTGACCAGGCTGGTCTGAAACTGCCGGGCTCAAGCATTCCTCCCACCTCGGCCTCCTAAACTGCTGATGAGAGCCACTGTGCCAGTCCCCAACTCTACATTCTTCTTCATTGTTGAAGCAAGTGTGTTACCTGTAATGGAATTGAGTATACGAAATCATGCGTTGGCACTATAGAGAACTACTGATCACTTGATAACAATTTAATTACAGTAACTAGAATAGAAATAAGTAGAGTAGAGACTTCATGCCAGGAATTGAAGACACGTATTTCTGACCCGTAGCTTTTTATTTATTGTTGCATGAGGTGTTAGTTATATAGATAACTCCTGGTTACCCACAAAACCACTTACCCAGAAAAAAAAACATTTCAAGTAGCTGAAATACATATTCCTGTGATATCCAAGAACTCCTTTCTTGTCGAAACACTGTGTTAGTTCTCCATAAGTACAGTGGTACCTAGGTTACTGTAAATAACTAAAAATATCTAGAAAAAAATCAGCTTGGTAATAGAAAAAAACATTTTACTCAAATCTAAATTATGATTTCTCTCGGAAATATGTGTCACTACTATAGTATAGTACTGATATTCAAGTAGGTAACTAAGTAAACGTAACTAGAGATTACTAGTTGAAGCCGGATAGTGGAAAACACATTCTTCTCAATTCTTGCATCTAATTTCTTGTTGAAATAAAGCACTAGTACTGCAGAGAATTAGTGATATACAGACAAGTAGCTTACTAGACACAGCAATAACAAGAACAATGAAAAACTTGTCAAATCCAAGCAGTGGAAAGACACATTACTTTCAACCCCAACTACTTATTTATTTCTAGAAAATTGAGTTACTATTACGGAAAACTAACTTTATTTAGGAAATATTTAGATAGAGATAATGAATATAACCAAAATAACTTTTTGAAACCAGCAAGCGGAAAAAATCACATTCTTCTCAACTCTGAATTTTTATTTGTTATTGGATTCTTGATTTAGTAGTAGAGGTAAGTAGTGGTATTTAGGAAACTAACTAGAAATGACTAGAAATAACTAGAACGTATGTAAGGAAACAGAAGATAGAAAACACATGCTTCACAAATCTAAGCCCTTATTTCTTCTTGGAATCAAGACTTAGTTCTCTGCTTACCTTCTGGGACCCAGGTAAGCAAATAACAGAAGACAGCTAGAGGTGATCAGAATGCCTGCATGAAGCTCAAAATTTCAAAAAGCTGAAATCTTAGACTCCCCCAAACTGGAAATTCTTATTTCTTGTTTGTCAATGTGTTGGTATCATACATACCTAGCGGAATTTAGGAGAATAATTAACTAGAAATGACTAAAGATAACCGGACTAAGTAGTTGAGAGCCTCTAAGATAATGTACTTCAAAACTTTGGGTGTGCGGATCTCCCCAGCCAGATGTAGCTCAAAGCTCCTAGAATTCGAGTCAAAGACCAACTCCTCCCTTGTCTCCCATCTGCTTTTCCATCCAAACAACTATATTGATTCATTTTGGCACCACTCAAAATCTTGCTTACAAGTGGCCAAATTGCACGTGAGATAACCTCATTTGAATGTCTCCTTGTATGAGTCAGCACTGGTTCTCCCAGTCAGGCAGAAAAGCACCTGGCAGTGCGTTTTGGGTCTCCTTTCCAGGCAGACTGATGCTTCTCTCTCAGGAAACCCTTGCAGATGATGGGTGTCCATCACCTAGCACTTGCGCTGTGTTCACAGCATTGAGACAAAAGCACAGGACCCTTTCCATTGCTGCCCCAGGTGGAGACGGCCCTTCTGTTCCTCCACCGTCCAAAAGAGCTGCTCAGGGCAGCTTTCCATTCCAGGCTTTTCTCGCAACCTCTGAGAATCTGGCCCTGGACCCACCCAGCTTCATTGGAATCTGCTTCCTCAGAAGGAACTGCAGTTTCCCAAAGCCCCAAAGGCCCCAGCTCAGGGCATTTACACTCCACCACGCTCACCTGGAGCCCCACACCCACACCCCTCTCTCACTTTTCCTCTATATCTCTAGAGGATATCTTGCCACCTTCATTACGTAACTGCAGTTACCCTATGGGTAGTGGTGTGTCTGGCTTACCTTAGCATCTCCACCACCAAACCAGGACCATCCAAAGAGCAGATGCTCATCGTGCATGGAGAAGAAATGAGCCAGTGAATAGGAACAATTCTTTATTCTAATTTAACTTCTCTTACATTCTCAAAGAATCCAGGGAAATCCAGGTATGCATATATTTTTTAAAATTTTACAGAATAGACTGAGGTATAAGGCAAGAATTTTAATTTATTTAGTTCTCTATCTCATCTATCTTACGGCTAATTTCTTCACATTTCCAAGCAAATACTAACTCCACTGCTGTTATCATATCCCAATTCACAAAATAGAACGGATTTCCCAATCTGAATAAACACCAGACTCTTACTCTTATGCTATAGAAACAGAACCTTGTGCGACTACTGTCACTCATGAACTTGGATGCTGAAGTTTATTCAACCATCCGTTAAAAGCGACATTTGAACAATTCCTAAAGGGAACGAAGGGGAATCTCCAAGTCACCCAACAGAACAGAAACCCCCTACCGGAAACGCCGACTGCTCTCTTCAAACTGGAGTGAATAACGGGCCTCAAGGCACACGAGGCAGGGGAAGCTGCTGGACAGGGCCCTGGAAGGTGAACTGGCCCAGCCCCCTTCCCCCGGCCCTGGCTGCAACTCATCCTCAGACCCCCTCTTCCTCCTCTCTCAAAGCTGCATCACGCAGGGATGGGTAGGGAATACGAACTCGCGCATTGACCTTGACAACATGCTCCAGGACCCTCACGTAGCTGGTTTCAGCAAGGGCCCTTGGGCCCCACAGGAACTCATAGCGTGCGGGATCACTGCCGGGCACCTGCCGGTACTCCAGGTACTTTTCCTGCACCCAGTCTTGGGTGAGCAGCTTCCTGGGCTCCCCATAGACACTGTGCTCCTTCCCATCATACACCTCCATCACACTCAGCTCCTCCCAGATTTCCTCCTCAGGGGCGCTGTCGCCCTCCATTGCGATCGTGCCCAGCACGAGTATCAGGAGGCCTGTCTTGGGCAAGATCTGATTATCACCCCCGAGGCCGTCGTAGGAGAGGCCCAGGCAGGTGACAAGGATATAGGACTGGTCGGTGGGGTCCAATTCCTTCACATCGATGCCAAAGATCATCTTCAGGGACTCGGAGGCTTTGCCAAAGATGACAGGAAAGCAGTGCTTGTAATTTTTGATGACCTTCTCCAGCATTTCTGCCTCTGTGACCGGCTCCTTGGCTCGATACTTCAGGAGCAGAAAATGAGCCAGCTCATCCACCTTCTTACTGAGTGCCGCTCGGAACGCAGACTCTGGGTCAGGAGAGGTGCTTGGCCCCTCCTCTTCTCGGCTGGTGCTGCTGGAACCCTCATTGGGTTGCCTCCAGCGAGTGAAGTTGGCGGTAGTGGGAAAGGCGGAGGCTCCCTGAGCACTCTGGGGATGAGCTGGTGACCCGGTAGCAGGCACCTCCCCCCGCGTGACTGGGACCAGAGTAGAGGAGGCGGCGGCAGCCTCCTGCTCCTCAGTAGCGGGAGCCTGCGCACCCACCAGGCACGGGGCCTCTCCTTGGGCCTCAAGATCTTCATCGGGCTTGCAGTGCTGACTCTTCTGCTCAAGGGACATGATGACTCTGGTCAGGGCAGCAGGCGGGAGTGCGGGCAGGAGCTGGGCAATGGAGACCCACAGGCCTGGGGAGAGAGGAACCGTGTGAGAAGCCTCAGCTGAGAATGGAATCCTGGAGACTCTAACAAAGGCTTACTTACAGATCTTCTCCCTGATGCTCCCCTGTGCCTCCAAGGAATCCGGTCCTCCTGGTTGGCCTGTCCCCCGAGAACCTGAAGGAGGAAATGAGAGGGTGCCTCAGGGTATACAGCCAGCCAGCAGAGGTCAATTCTGCAGGACTGACTGTAAGGAGGGTGAGGCCACACTCTCTCAAGTCCCATGTGTCCTGGGGCAGGTGGGGCCCTTGGCGTGCATTCAGGGTAAACATCTGCTACTGGCATTGCCTGTGCATCCTCTGCTCTCTGTGACAGGAGGACAGTGCCACAGACCAAGGCCTCACTGCCTGGTTCCTGGAGCTCCTGGAAGAGGAATCCACACACCCTCAGGGTGCAGACTGCGAGCACAGCCCTAGCCCCTCACTGCTATCCACCACTGGACTCTGTGACATCCCTACTTGCATGGGGTGGATGGTCCCCTCTGTACTCACGCAGGGGCCTCACATTTTTCTGGCAGGGCCTGAATCCCACCCTTTGGCTGCTCAGAGAAATGCGGATCAAGAACTCACATCCCTGATAGGGAACAGAAGGACAGCAGGGGACCCACATCTGGCCACACGTGCCTGGGTCCACCCAGGAAGAACAGCAAGAGATATTAAAATTCATTGGAATTAATGCGTCCTGGGCGAGGAGGCTGCTTGGTCCTCACCTTGACCCCTGGCAGGGCCTGAGGCCCTCCCTCTACTGACCTGAGTGCAGCCCCGTCAGACCAAGGCCTCCCGTCCCTGACATCAGTGATCCCACAATAAGTGAGCGACCTCAGGAGACAGCCCTGCCCATGCTCTCTGGGGTGACAGTAGGGGAAGGGCAGACTTCTCTGCGGTCCCTGTCAGCATTCTGGCCCTGGAGTATCCTCAGTCGTCCCTCACGCCTCACGCCCCACGCCCCTTACCTGGACCCTTGGCGGATCCTGGGATCCCTCTGTCTTTCAACCAGATAGGGTCCCCTATGTTTACCTGAGTCACCCTCTGAGAATAAGGTCCTCGTCTCCCTGAGATCTGGAAACAGGAGTGAGATGGAGCCACACCCTGTCACCCCTGCGTGAGGGGTCCAGGGCTGACCCCTTTGGTTCTGGGGTGAGGATTCCAAGAGCCTTGTCTGGGTTACTCGTCTTTATTCCTGACGGGGCCTTCACTTCCTCAACCCCCAATTCCCTGAAATGAGTGGACATCCCCCTTTTAACGGAGACCCCATTTCCCTGAGGGCTCCCCAACTTCCTGCCTGTGGCACAAGTGAGACTGGCACACAGGGCCATCCATGATCTGGTCCTCCCCCCCTCCCCCGCCCCGAGCTATGAACAGGGGACAGCCAGACTCTGTGGAGTTCCTTCTTTCTGAGCCGGGGGTATTCCCAAGTCCTCGTGAAACCTGCACACCCTGGGCCTTGTAGATCCTGGGACTCCTCCCTCTCTTGACCTGAGGCCCCACTTCTCAGACCACAGCCCTGTCCTCCCTGTCACCTCAAAGGTACGGGAAGTATGGGCCACATGTGGCCACCGGGCCCTGGGTCTCTCAGGGTGGAGATCCCCACTGATCTGGATTCCAAGGTCACCTGAGTCCTCCCTCCTCTTCCTCCTCATGATCCTGGCAGGGCTGGGTCCCACCCCTACGGTGATCTGAGTCCCCATCACTGTGATTCTTGAGGCCGAAAGAGGCAGCCTCAGTCCCAGACAGGGGTGCAGGTGCAGTGGGTCTCCTGTCCTGGGGTGCTGGGTCCCCTGAGGCCTCCCTCATCTCCCAGCAGGGCCCTCCCTCTGCTCCTCTGAGGCCCTGTTCAAGCCCCTTCCTTCCCCAAGCCCCTTCCCTCCATCAGCCCCGGATGTGGACGTCAAGATCCGAGTGCCTGGCCGCCATTCCTGGGGCTTCCGTGGGTTGACTGCAGGGATTCTGCCAAGATGTGGTTGGGTTGGGGTGGGGTGGGGTGGGGTGGGGTGGGGTGGGGTGGGGGGGGTGGGACGGGAATGTGAGTGGGGTAGGGGTGGAGAGGAGGACATAGGTCAGGGTGGGGGACCCTCAGATCCCTCTCAGGGTTCTGACCTTGATGCTGGGCAGATGCCTGGACCTTGATGCCTGGGCCCTACCCTCTCCTGACCAGCCCTGACCTGGTCACGTAAGCTCTGACTCCAGAGTTGCCTGCCAGTTAAGTGGTAGTGGGGCCAGGGGTGGCCAGAGTGCCCCGCAGGTTAAGCTGAGAAGTGTGCCCCGGCTGGGTGGTCCAGAGCTGGCAGCAGGGGTGGTGTCGGATCACTTGGGGACCGTCAACCTGGGGTGGGGGGCCTCCCCAGGCCTCCCTCAGCTTCTCACCTTGCCTCCTCCCAGGGCCTCAGGCCACTCCCCTCAGCGGACCTCCAGCCGCCCCTCAGAACCATCAGAGGAATCCGGCTTCTCTCAGATCTCTGAGGTGCAAGTCAGGGGTGTCACATCCAGCCACCCAGGGCTTCCGTGGGTTGAGAGCAGGGGTAAACTGTATTCTGCCAGAGCGGGGGTGGGGATGGGAGTGGGGTGGATGAGAGAGATGAGGGTGGGGATGGGGGGAAGACGGTGGGGTGGCAGAAGGGTTGGAGATGGGGCTGGGGATGGGGGGTGGTGGTCCGGTGACGGAGTGAGGGTGGGGCGGGGGTGGAGGGGTGGTTGGGCAGACGGGGGTTGGGTGGGGAATGGGAATGGGAATGGGAATGGGGGAGTGGGGATTGGAGTGCAGCCTTGGGGGCCCACAGCCCTCTCTCTGGGTCCTGACCTTGATGCCTGGCAGAGCTGGGGCCCTGCCCTCTCCTACCCAGTACTGCCCTGGTCACAACAACCTCTGACTCCAGAGCTTGGGGAGGAAAACCTGGTGTTTCTCAAGGCTTAAGCAGCAGGGGGCTGGGTGCGGCCCGCCTGAGACGTCTTCCCGCGGGTGGTCCAGGGCTGGCAGCAAGGGCGGCACTGGAATATTTTGGGCTCTCTATCTGGGGTGGGGGGTCCTCGGTCCTCCCTCAGCCTCTCACCTTGCCTCCTCACAGAGCCTGGGTCCGCTTCCCTCCTCCGAACTCAGGCCGCCGCTAAGAATGGAGACCTCGCTTTCCTCTGTCCCCCGGTGCGCAAGTCAGTGGCGTCACATCCGGGCACCCGGGGCTTCCCTGGGTGGATGGCAGGGGCGGAACCGGATCCTGCCTGGGTGGGGCTGGGGGTGGGAGTTCTGGTGGGAATGGTGTGGATGGAAGGGCGGGGTAGATGGGGATCAGGGTTGTGGGATGGGGTGGGGGATGGGAGATGAGTGGGAATGGCAGTGAAGCGGGGGTTGGGTCGCCGAGAGAATGGGCGTTGAAGTGGGGTCTTGGCGGCCTTCAGCCCTCCCTGAGAATCCTGAGCATGGGGCCTGGCAGAGCCTGGATGCTGTCCTCTCCCAAGCAGCCCTTCCCTGGTCACACAAGCTCTGACTCCAGAGTCCCCAGCCGCTTCAGCAGCAGGGGGCTGGGCGTGGCCCAGCCTGAGAAGTCTGCCCCCAGGTGGTCCAGGGCTGCCAGAAGGGGTGGCGCTGGATCGTCTGGGGCCCTCTATCTGGGATGGGGGTGTCCTGAGTCCTCCCTCAGCGTCTCACCTTGCCTCCTTGCAGAGCCTGGGCCCGCTTCCCTCCGCTGATCTCAGGCCGCCCTTCAGGCCGAGAACCTCGCTCCTCTCTAACCCGCAATGCGCAAGTCAGTGGCGTCACATCCGGGCACCAGGGCTTCCCTGGGTTGACAGTAGGGGCGGAACCGGATGCTGCCTGGATTCGGGTAGGGGTGGGTGTGAAGACGTTTATATGGGAGGGATTGGGGGTTGCAGGGGGAGGGATGCCGGCGGCGACCCCGGGGCTTAGGTCGTGGTGGCGGTGGTGGGGTTGGGGGACCCTCAGTCACCCTTCAGGGTCCTGACCTTGATGCCTGGCAGAGCCTGGACCCCCATCCTCTGCCGACTGTGTCTGCTCCTCTCCGACCAAGTCTCTGACCCCCAGTCCCATGAGGTGGCAGTGGGAGGAAGGGTGTGCTCAGGCGACAAGGTTGCCAGGGTCTTCCATGGCTGACAGGAGGGGCTGAGCCACATTCTGTGGCCCCCGTAGGTCGGGAGAGTGAACCCACAGTCACTCTCAGGCACGAGGCAGAGGCAGCCGCAATCAGAGGGTAGCACCCAGCGGCCCCAGGGATAAGCTACAGTGCTGGGAGGGAAGGCCTCGGGCACAGGAACATGGAAGCAGTCTGGCCACGTGGCCCTGCGTGCCTGTGAGAGGGGTGAGTGCTTCTCTCTTCCACCCTCCGCCTCCTGCCTGGGCTGGGGGGAGAGTAGCCGTCCGTCACTCCAGGCAGGCAGGCAAGTCCCCTGGCCTAGCTGCAGCACAGAGGACCCACTAATGGCTAGAGTGGCCCAAGTGGCTTCTGAAGGGAAGGGGAATGCTGGAGGGCGGCGGGGGCCAGGCTGTGAAGCTGCAGAGGTTAGAAGGGCCTGGGCGGCAGAGAGGGGAGAGAGAGAGGCAGGGAGGCAGGGAGAGGCAAGTGCCACCCTCCCCTGCCTGCAGGTGGGCCCCCTGGTGACCTGGGCCCCCAGCAGGCCTAGTGACAAAAGGCTTTCCCAGGGCTGTTGGACCAACCAGTTCAGGGGTGGGGGGGGGGAATCGAGGAGACCTGGGGGAGGCGGGGGTCTGTTTCTCTCATTTGTCACCAACGAGGGGCCCCAGGCTTGAACGAGCCCTTGCTCCAGGAGACAGGCACGTGGTGAGTGGGGCTGGTGGGCCAGTGTCTTCACAGACATCTCGGGGTGGGGTCCGCCCCTGTGCCAGCCACTGGGCACACAGACAGGTAGGGGCCAATCCCCCCACTATCCAGGAGCCCACAGTCTCCCAGAGGAGAAACAAGGGAGGGCTCACCATCACCCCGAAGGTCTAAAGGCACTG